TTTTGAACACGATAAAAATTCTAAATGTGAAAGATATAATCAGCTGCAGGAAAACTTGAACTTTTTATTTATAGATTGAAAAGTTATTCATTATAGGTATTATTTATTTTATTCATTAAAAAGTTCTTCATGTTATTATAAAGTTAGATAATTAAAAAGTGAATTTAATCAGGGGTCTAACTAAACTAAACTCAGCGGCGCGACAGCCCATAGAGGGCCAAGGCCTACTGTGCCCATCTTAGTTTTCTTGACCTTGGGCTCTGGGGTGCAGGAGCAGATGTTCCGGTCAGGTGGTCAGCCGAACGCGGAACCCCCAATGTTTAGTCCCCAAGCATGCTTGGTACTCATTTATCAACCCACTGAAGGGATGAAAGGCTGAGTCAACATTGCCCGGCCCGCGGATCGAACCAGGGACCTGTGGCACGACAGCGCTAAGCGCTACCCCTCAGCCACCGGATGTCAATCAAGGGTCTCTCCAGGCCAAGTTTACTACCATTTAGCGGTACCTTCACAAATTCAACTTCAGGAAAAATTTCACAAAATACTTTTTCTTAAAATTTTTTTTTTTATGCTGTAAGAAACGATAAATCCATATTTTTATCATATTTTTGTGTTGATTTTTTAATATAATTATTAGTTTTCACAAATTATGTATAAATTTTCACAAAATAGGTACCTCTCTGAAAAGCCTAGACAGACCCCTATTAATATGTTTCAATTAGGTAATTGTTTTTAGATTTCATATTTAGGGGTGGCTAATTTTAGTATCATATTTAAGAGTAGTGATTCCCGTATCCTGAAATGCTTGCAATTTTTAGGTAAAAGGGTATTTTCAAAAGTAACAAAAACTTGTGTTTATTTTATATTGTGTGAGAAAAATTAATCAGGTCTTCAATATTGTTTGCGTTTAATATTATATCAATTATCCAAATTAATAGGACACAAACCTACTTATATTGAGAATAATCTTTAAATTATAAGTGTTCATTGCTCTAATCATTCATTTCAATCAATAAACTTTGAAAACCAAGATTATAAAGTGTAACATAATATATTTTAGGAAGTGGAAACATGATTGTTAAACTTAACTACATTAGTGTAGTATGTAACTGAGAAATGATAAAACAAAATGTTATATTTATTAGACTCCTTAAAAAGTATTGAGTTAGCCAACTTCACCTACTAGAGACAATTTCTATTTGTTGCTCAAAAAAAAAAAAAAAAATAGGCCAGTTCTTTGTGAGTTAAGTAGTACAAAGATTTTGTGATACAGAATTTGTTTCCCTCCATTATATGATCAGAAAACTTGTATGTAAGCTTAGAAATATTTTCTGAAAATTTTTATTCCCATGGTTATTTAGTTTTTTTCTTTCTAATTGAGGTACTTGTTTGTGTATTAATTTTTACTGATGCATTTTCAGAGTTTCTAATGATAAAATGTTACTTTGTTATGTGGGCTGCAATACTACTGATGTTGGTAGTAAGCGAATTATTAATTGAAAAAAAAGAAGTATAAGAAATTTTAAAATCAATTTTGATTGACAGAAGTATTATCAAGGTTCTAAGAATCAGTCTCAGAATTAAATTCTGAATTGATCTCAATCCAATTATCCAAAATCCATTAATCACTCACTATAATCAATCAAAAATAGTTGTCTCACATTTTGCCTGGCTGATGAATTTCGTAAAATGATTAACTATAGTAATGTAAGGGTACACAACATTTTTGAATGAAGGGCAGCTGATAGACCAAAGAAGTGCCAATGGTTAACCAATGAAATATTTAAAAAAATAGATTAAATGTAGTAGTAGAGGTGCGCAACTTTTTTGAATGAAGGACCAGCAGGTTAAACAATTAAGAACTGAATATCTTTCATTGGTTAAGTGTGTATTTAGACATGTTCGATGTGTATTAGATAATTTATTATCCCGATCCCCAGGCTTGATCAGCACAACAAAAATGCGCCATGCACATGCAATGTGTACCAGCACACTGTGGACTTCAAGGTAACGAAACTGCAGATTTCTTGGCCAAAAAAGCCGCCAAGATTCTACAAATATCTCTTAAACCAGTTCTTTTCTACACCACAAAGAGGCTAATAAAAATCTCTCTTCGAACAACATTTGAGGCAAAACTCCAAGAAGCAAATAAAGATAAGGACTGGCTGGAATGAATTGAAAATATTCCGTCATGGCCAAGAGAAAAATCTGTGGCCCTTTTTCACCTTGCCACTGGCCATGGCTGTTTATCAAAACACCTGTGCAGAATCGAAATCTTTTCAAGCCCCTTTTGTCCATTATGTAACCTACAAGAAGAAATGGACGCTAACCATCTGAGACACTGCCCCGCACTTCCTCGTGGGAACGATTTTGGCGGGCGAGATGCATTATTAATTAACTATAGACTCTTTCTTTTTGTAGCTCTTGTTTCCGTTTTTTGTTCTTTCTTTGCATTGTTCTCAGCTACAAATTTGTCTTTCATGTCTGCCATTGGAAATAAAAATATCCTGATTTTGGACACATTTTTCATGTTCTTTTTCAAATTTGAGGATAAGTTTTGTTTGTCCAGGACCACATTGACAAGAAATTTGATAAATATCAAGCTATTAATATAATTCAGAGTTGTCTGAATTATAAATTTTAATCATAGGTTAGATTTTTCTTATGCTAAAATCATTCAGTACTGCTCTTTTTCTATAGAACTAGATTTCTGGGAATCATTCTATATTTGGAAAAATTATAAGTATCTAGTTAATAATCTTGAATCTCACCCTTTCTTAATGTTAGGAAATCTATTCTAATTTAATCTTTGGCACCCTGGAGTTTCTGCCAAACACTCTTACACCTATTTATTATCACTTTCCTTTTTATTATCTTCTTCAAGATTGTATCTATCTGTTAAATTATTTCGCATATCTTTATCTATTTACTTTTTTACTGTAATTTTGTGTTAAGACAGTGAGGTAGGTTCTTGTTTAGGGAACCGAAACTATAGTTTGTCCGCTTCTGTGCTTCATATGTGCTTTATTCACATTGTTTTTTTGCCTCAGTCTACATAGCATAAAGTTTTCCCTATCTTCCTTTTTCAAGAATTTTTTTATCTTGATTTTAAGCTTAAAGAGACATTATATTACAAAGGTTCCACAACAAACATTTATTTATTATGTTCACCTTAGTTCCATGAAATAGTTACTCAAACAAAATATCTAAGTTTTCTAAATTTTTTCAAAGATTGCATCTTTAGCTTTGTTGCTAATAATTTGTTATTTATAGGGCTTAAAACAATTTTAATTTATATATGTTTACTTTTCTTTTCAAAACTTTTTATAAATGCTAAATTAAAAAAAAAATGTTTTAATGAAACTTGGCAAACTATCTTAATAGGAAATACTCTGTATACTGGAATTATGCTGAATTTTATAAAAACTGTTTGGAAAAAAAATTATGATTTTACAATAAATTAAATGTAAATGGAATTTAAAAAAAAATTTTTTTTTGACAACATAATGGGTTAGTTAAGAAGAGAAAAGCTAATCAACCAAAATATGGTGAATTAACTCTAAAAATAAGATAAATATTTTTGTATTGTTTTTACTTCATAACATCTCATCTGGCTGCTTAAAAACCTATGGACATTGTTTATAAATTAGGTTTGGATATTTTTATAAAATTGTAAGCTTTCTTGTCAGTATTTACTTTATACAGTAATTTTTGTTACAACTTCAAGTGTGAAACTATGCATTTTTTGATTAAATCATTATAGTAGTCTATGCTCTTTACTATGGTTCCCAAAACAGATAGTAGAAATAGTACAGTCTGCGTAGTTCTTTAGTAGATTTATTATAATGACCACTACCTGAAGTCCTGTTTGCTATTCCATTGAAGCAATGTTATTGTGATGCCCATTAGAACATTCAAGCTGGACCATTCATTCCAATATAGCGACCAAAGTTTTATATAATTTTTTTTTATACTCATAAAATCACTTCAAAAACTGATGTTAAATATGTGCCTTCTTAACTAACATATTCCCTATCAACATCGAGTCAGTCAATAACAAAAATTTCGAGAAAACTATTCGAATCACTATTTCTTTTGATGTTACTGCTCAATAAACATGAACTGTCTTGACTTCTATACGAATGAAGAAAGAGTGACAGGACTAACTTTTCTTAAATCTAGGAGGTCATTGGGATTATCTATGGTCAAACGAATTATTGATTACTTACCTGTATTTAAATATTGAAGTGTATGTTACACAGTCATTTAGAAATCAGAGTTTTATAATTATAATCTTTCAAAATTTCTTTTCAAACAGTTTAATATGCTCATCAACCGCACTGCGGTGGTTTATTTTGAAGTTTTGTATTGTTCACATTCCTCTAGATTTTTAGTTTTACTTAGTTCTTTGTACATATGTTATTTAGCAAAATTGCCACTCCTAACCAATGTAACGCTTTATGACTAGAGTGAAAATTCAAAATTTTATTGGAAATAGACATAAGAATAACATCAAACCCTCAAATTTCTAAGTTATTAAAGATTTTGAAAGCACATTGTTTACAATAATTGAAAATTGTGATGTAATTTTACAGGCCTTCAGATTCTAAAGGCAGAAGAATAAAGAAATTCATGATGTCGTTCTTGTGAAGCAAAACTTCAAAATCTTTAATGGCTAAACCTTATGTGCAATGTTAAACGATGTCAAAAAAAATTAACATTTCTTTTTAAAGTCTTTTATTAAATAGTACTTGTACTTTATCAACATAAAATAGTGCATAATGGTCAGCTTAATAATTCTATTTAAAGTGTAACATGTTTTGCCAAAATAAATTCTATATTCACTATAGTCACTGTAACAACAACTTCAAGAACAACTAAACAACTTCAGATTATAACGCCTGTTTTTTGTTTAGACCACAGGGATCCTTATATTGAGTGACAACTGTATTAAAGTGATAAAGACTTACTTTTTTATACTTTTATTTCCTTTTTAAAAGGTTTGTTTTATACAAAGAAAAGAATATGTTATTAACAATGGAACATGCTGCTAAGGAAGAAGTTGAATTGTTTCCTAGTCCAGAACGAATAGACAAAGTAAGTTTTTCTCTTAATTTTAGCTAGATTGCTTATTTATTTAAGGTTAGTTTAAATGTTATAGAGCTGTTTTACAATTGTGATTGTAAATAAATTGATTTTTATCCTAATGCATTTTAACATAGAACTGGTTTTTATCATATTCATGTTGAGATAAATATGTTTTTTTTTTTTTTTTTAAATTAAGTTAAGCATTACTATGTAATAGAACCTTGATTGGTTGTTTCTCATTAAACCATTCATTGCAAAGAACAGATACAAGACGAATGCAAGTCAGCATAAAGTATCTAATGAAAAGAAAAAAATTATGTGTTTTACAGCAAAAATATTTGAAATGCAAAAGGAGGATAAATAAAAAAAAAATTTTAATTTAAGATATATAGAAATTTTAGTTTGAATGCATTCTTTCCTTCACTACGCGAACAATAAATTTTCAGCATCCGTAAAATACTGTGGTTCTTTTTTTTGTAAGTTAGTGTGAATACAGAATGTTTCTCAATGTTTCAAAGACATTAAGGTCTTCTGCAAAGTTTGTGATACCGTCTTGCCATCTTCATCTGAGCCGGTATCTTCATCTGTACATTGAGCCAAAGAAAAGAAAAAAAAGGATATCAACCTTAATCACTGTTGTTCTAATAGCCAGATTTTCCTGTACTAAGTGATCTTAATGGTTCAAACAAAGGGTTAAGTATGCTAATTAAGGGATTCTAACTATTAAGTCATAAAATCAGGCTTAAAAACATACTTTCTGTAAATAAACATACCTTTTTTCTATTGAGTTGGATTCTTGATCATGAAAATATGGGGAGTAACTGCAAACTAGACTTTAGTTTATGGAGCTGTTAAAAGTTTGGGCCCTTAAAAAATATTCATGAAATTCGTTTATTGAAAGATACTTTCATCATAATTACATTAACTGATGGTTCAAAAAAATTGTTTTTGAATTGTAAGATACATAATTTTTTTATTATTGTATGTGTTACGTAATTTTAAATGACAAAATACAAAACTTGAACAAAAGTGGTCAAATATTGCATGACTTATAACATTTTTAAAAAAGTGGGGTTTTAAAATTGTCTTTCATCTTAAGAACTATTTGTGTTAGGTTACTTAAAATTACATAGTTGCAAAACTTTTTGTATCTTTCAAAATATTTGAATCTTTTGTTCGAATAAATAATAATAAATGGTTATTAAATATTATTCTTTACACAGAAATAGCTTTGCATAAACAAATTTTATAATTGTGGGTAGAATGGTTTTTTATTTTTTTAAAGAGTTTCCAAGATATGACAAAATATGCAGAAATTGATATTGACACTCCAGACCACTCTTCTGACTAAACTATTTTGACCATATTTTCAGATTGCACTACTGTTAAGTACTAATTAATTAAAAAAAATTTGAAGAAAATTTTGTTGTGAACATATTTTGGTTAAAATTCTTTTCAATCAAAACATGCTTAAGCAAATGTAATTTATTTTATTTCATCAATAGAGAAAAAAAAATATTAAAATTGATTTTCTACCAAAAAAGTTAAAACCTAATTTAAATTTATTAAGGAGTCAGTCAAAAATGGTGGTTTAAAAATGGTATCTTTACTTTGCTGTACTATGTTCAAGACATGCTTTAATTTGCTCAAGCGTCTGTCTAGGTTTTTCTGAGAGGTACCTATTTTGTGAAAATTTAGACATAATTTGAGAAAATTAAAAATTATATTAAAAAATCAACACAAAAATATGGATTTATTCTTACGGGATACAAAAATAAAATTTTAAGAAAAAGTATTTTGTTCCAGTATTTGTAAAGGTAAAGTATTCCGTTTTTCCTAAAGTTTAATTTGTGAAGGTACCACTAAACGGTAGTAAACCCCAGTTGCTGTTTTTATGTTTAAGACAAATAGATGCTCTTTTTATATTTAGGAATGGTTGAGTTATTATTGATTGATACAATAATTAAATTTATTGTTACTCATGAAACTTAAATTTTTTTCACGCTGCCCTCTTTTGAATTAAGTTGTACATCTTTGAAATATAATTTTCTTTTACCGCACTAAAAAAATAAATGGAAGTAAAATGTTCTCTTCAATAATAAATTATTCATCTCTTAATAATAGCAGAATCACTGAAATAACTAGTTTTGTGTCACTGAAAACTTGCAGTATCTCACCCATCAGAGTAGCAAGGACTTAGTGGTTGCATTTGCAATCATTTCAAAGTTTTAAAATGTTACATAGTGGTAGGGTTGCAAAAAAGCTGTTCTTTTTTAGTTTTTTAATCTTTTATATTCTATTATGCAAGATTAACATACACATATTTAATTTTATTAATGACTATTTAGTAAAATATCTTACAATATTAATTTAACTTTCTCTGATAGGCATTTATTCCATAAAGAGGTTAATGATATAATTTCTAATCCTTATTTGCTTTGTCTGAAATTGTTTTAAACCTATTTCGAATTCTTCCTAACTGTGCTCAAATTTGATTCAGAATAATTATTTTTTTTTTAAAATTACACTGAATTTTCTATAAATTAGGCATTTTTTTACTTATAAAATTGTACATAATGTGATTTGTTCGAATTAGATATATTTTTTAAAAAGTTGGACAACTAGTAATTATAGCTAATTTTATATTATTCTTCTATATCTTCTTATGCTGCATTAAATAAGTTGATTTCTAATCGAAGTTCTAAATAGTTTAAAATATTTGTCCTTAACAGTTCCAAGTTGTTGCTTCAAACTGTTTCAAAAGTGCTAATTTGTTCCAAATAGTTTTCAACATACAATCGCATTAATATAGTTATTAATTAATAATTTTATATCCCTTTATATTATTCCTAGTTTTGAAAAATATAAGTTCTAATAAAAGCTGGTTTTTTAATTATAGCCGAACTTTTTTAAGTGGTTTAAACCAAAATAAGCCGATCACCTTTTTTTGTCCTGGCTAAAATCCTGCATAGTATGAGAATTTTAGAGTTAAATGTAAAATAATTAATATTTTTGAAATAATTTATATTCAGTGGTGATCATAAATGACTCTTTCTTTAAAAATCAAAATGAAAGAAAAGAATATATTGTACTCTGATAAACTTATACTATCTAATTTATTCGTATAGAAGATATTTTGATGAACTGATTTTAGTAAAAACAGATTCCAGAACTTTCTTTCAATAACTGTTTTTTTTGTTTTGTTTTACATTGTTATCAGATTTTTAAACTTTAAGATATAAAGGGTATTTAGAATATAGATAAAATAGCATAAATTTAATTGGGATAGTCAATTTGATGTTACAAGTGTCACACACTATTTGTGGTGCTATCTTTTTGTATAATAACATCTCAACTTTTAAACTTAAAATTGATATTGGGACTAAATTTTGAATTTTAAACCAATTACCATTGTTCACTTCATTATTTTCTTATTCAAGTACTTAAAAGCTTACTAAAATGTCAATATTTAAAAAAACTATTAAAATTTTTTAATCAAGTGTGAAGTTAGGAAATTTTATTTAATTAAAATTTTATGTAATTTTTTTAAAATTCCAAATAAGGGATGTTAAAACAAAACTTTTAAGGGACCAGGAGTCAAACATAATGCTGTGTTCAGCAAAAATATTAAATTTCATGTCAAAAAGTAAAAATTTAATACTATTTTTAAAAAAAATGTGTGTGATACTATTTAAAAAATTTTTGAATGAAAAATGAGTTTTTCTTTCTTACTTGAAAAGTCAAAATTAAACTTTTAAGAGATTAAACATTTTAAAATTCAAAAATTTGTAATAATGCTAAAACTGAAAACATGTTGAATATGCTTTATTTTGATTTTCAGTCTTAATAAATATTTGGTTGCCAATTTTTTCTTTTTAATTTTCTTTAACAAATTAGTAAGTTCGCAAAAAAAGAAAATTAGTTTTGAAAACAATTATGAAATATATTTAATAAAACTATTATACATATTTTATGTACTCGACAGGTTGAAATAAGTATGGAGAATTTAGAAGCTGTAGTACGTGAAAGGAATGAAGCATATTATTTATTAGAAACTGGGGAAACAGGAGAAAGACCTCATGGTTGGAAGGAAGATGAATTTGGAAGATTTAATTGGTAAGTTTGTTTCTTAACAACTTAAACAAATTTTTCTAGGTTCCTATACTACTTAAAATAAACTTTCTAAGAACAAGGTTTCTTTACAAGATTGAAAAAAATTGTAGATGTAAAAGAAACTAAAGAAAGATAAAATGTTGTATTAATTCTAAAAACCTTTTTTTTTTTTTTTTTAAATCATAAGTTGCTCTTTTGTTAGACACAATTCTAATCTATGATTAAAGGTTATTTGTTTTAAAATTAAAGTATTAACTTTATACATGAAAAAAATTTGGACAATAAAATAAAATATTTAATTTATATTATAAATAAGACACTGTGGATCTTCAGAAAAATTTACAGCTAAGCATTTAAAATCTTCACAATTGGAATAATTTAAATTCTTGCTTAGTTACTAAGTGAAATTTAATGATATGAAAAAAAAAAGTGTTTTGCAGTTTGAGTTAAGGTCAAAGTAGACATTTTAATTGAAATGTTTGAAGTTGAGATGGATCATCATATTAGTTATGTTATTGCTTACATTTTTGGATGATTTAGAGAGACCATCCCTAAACTTTTATTTTTGTAATAAAAAAGAATAANATCTGAAAATGTTTTTAAAAAAACCAACCCCGGTTTGCAAAAATTGTCTGGTAGTTCTTAGGTGAGCCCTGTTAATTAATATAATTAAATTAGTTCTTACATTATAATAAAATTGTGTTTTATGATTTTTATTATTTATAGATTTTTTTAAGACAGTAAGTAATTTTCACTATCACTGAGGGCATACTCGATGATAAACAATCATACTATTTTTAAAATCCTTAATTTTTCAAAAAAGTTCTTAATTTTTTCAAAAAAAAAAGTCCTTAAAAGTGCTTAATTTTTGCTTTGTTGAAAGACTGGGAACCCTGTTACAAGATTGAAAAAAGTTGTATATAACTAAAGAAGTAGTTGTAAAGAAACTAAAGAAAGAAAAAATGTATAAATTCTAAAAAAAATTTACAAAAATCATTAGTTGCTCCTTTGCTGGACACTAACAATTCTAATCTATGATTAAAGGTTATTTGTTTCAAAATTAAAGTATTAACTTTATACATGAAAAAAATTTGGACAAGAAAATTAAAAAAAAATTTTATATTATAAATAAGACACAAAACTGTGGATCTTTAGAAAAATTTACAGTTAAGCATTTAAGATCTTCACAATTAGAATAATTTGAATTCTTACTTAGTTACTAAGTGAAATTCAATGATATGAAGAAAAAAAATGTGTTTTGCAGTTTGAGTTAAGGTCAATTTTATGCATTACTTAGATTCACTTTTGTGGAACTATTATTTAGGGTAGATTTTGCAGATTCTGTTAAGTAGACATTTTAATTGAAATGTTTGAAGTAGAGATGGATCATCATTTCAGTTTATGTTATTGCTTACATTTTTGGATGATTTAGAGAGACCATCCCTTAACTTTATTTTTTGAATAAATATTTTATTGAATAAATAACATTAACAAACATTTTAATCCAGAATATATATGTATAAAAGACCAAAAATTAAAGAAAATTCAATTTTTGTTATTTTTTTTAATGCGACTTAAACTCCATTGATATTTAATATTTCCTTGCCAAAATGAATAAAAATCAAGATAAATTTAACTAATAAGTTGCACTTTTATTGACATATTAATTGTTGGAATTATGTCAACATGACAGAGTTTAATCTAAATTATCAAAAAATCTAAAATAACAAAAAAAACTTCAGCAAAATTCCATCTGGCTTATGACTATAAATTTGCATACCGTTTCTGGTGTGTTTCACTTTCATTTGTAAACAAATTTAAAAACTTTTATGAATCATTAAAGACATTGCACAACACAATAGCTAATAAAAGTTTCTTTAAAACAAAATTAATTAATAATTGTACTTATCATTGAGAAAAAAAACAATGACAGTAAAAACCCAACAAAACATCTTTATCAGGTTGACAGGACACATACTGCATTATTATTAAATATAATTATTATGAAGATTTTTGTACTTAGAACACATTAGCCTGTATTTATACACTTTTTTGGGGTAATTTAGTTACTATATCTTTATTAAAAAAACTGCCTTTTATCAGGTATTTACTATTTTCATCTAAAGTATGTTTTGTCTTGGTCAGTCTGCTTGTTTGATCTGTTGTGATTCTAAACATAAAATTATTTTTCATTAATGGAATTTTTATTTTTTGAAATAGTTTAGTAAAATATTTTAGCAAAAACATGTCGTTTCTTATTTGCATTTTAGATTTTTTTCTCTTTCACCTTTTTTTGTAATTTTTTTTCCTTGGTAGAAACTTTGCTTTACAATTTTATCAAAAGAAAATTTACAGATTTTTTTTAACCATAAATATTTTAATTTACAAATACATCATACATAATTTTTATGTACTCTATTAGTAAAACTGCAAGAAATAGAGACAAGATGATGTGTGATTGCTACTAAAAATAATACACCATTCCTTTTTTCTCAGTTATTTAATCTATTCTGAGAAATGAGATAACTGATAAAATCATCTCATTTCAAGTTGAGAAATTATTACAAATTAAGAAAAAGTTTATATTAATACACAATTATTTATTTATTTTTCTCAATTAGTCAATCTATTTCATATTCTGATATAAAGTCAACTTATTTTAAGGTGAGAATGTCTCGCTTTTTTTCAGAGGGTAAAAATAATTATACTCTTTCTTGATTTGTCCCATGTCTTTGAAAATTATCTCTTGTAAATAATAGAATATGACATAAATCTTATACTGCAATCAATAAAGAAAATATCTCTTCTTGTTTAACAGATTTATTTCAATAAACAATTTATGGATAAAAAATTTCTTTGTAGAATATATTAATTTTGTTAAATTTATTATTAGTAGAATATTTAAGAATATATTTAATTTGAAAATTTATTCTGAACACTCATGATTAGTATATTTATTTTGAATTGAAAACTAATCCACAGATATAGCAATTCATATAATGTCTTGAAAATTCATTTTCTTTTCCAGCTAGTTAGTTTTTTATATGAGCTTGCATCAATTTTCGCTGAACTAAATTAAACTAAAAAAAGCTTTGTATTTTTTTTAAAGCATTAAAGTTGTAAACAATCTCTTTTCCAAAAGCCTCATCATTTTCTTTCTTACCTTTTAGTGAAGATTAAAAATAGAGTTAAGTTTCACTTCAGACAAGTTGTAGTACAATTCCTCCAGTCATAGTACAACTAGTACACTCTTTTTTTTAATTTCTGATGCCAAACAGAAGGCATCACAAATCAGAAGCTATAATCATAAATAATAATGCACTTATTAGACTTTAAGGATCTGTATCTTAAAATAAACAAAATGAAGTTGAACCACTATTCAAAGAGAACTTAAGTTGATTACACCTAATAAAATATTAAAAAGTAACAGAATTTATTAAGATTTAGGCATTTTATAGGAAGTAATGTTGTCCTTGTTTCGCCTTTTTAGTGTTAAATCCTTAATGGTTATAACTTTTTTTAGTGTGCCATTGGAAGAGCATCTTATTCCCATGAAAGAAAACAAGAAGTTCCTAGAAGAAGATCTATTTCCAACTATGGAGACTGTCAATCCCACAGTTCCAGAGTTTTTACTTAAGCTATCAGAAAAAGAAAGATTCCTGAAAAGAATTGAACGCAAGAAACAGAGAATGCATATTAAGAAATTGTTCAAGGAATTTCCCAACATGGATATGGAAGCTTTACAAGAGCAATATCCTGATGTAGATGTATATCAATATAAAAAATATTTAGAAGAGCATGATGAGCTGTAAATATTTGTTTGAATGGCATTAAATGTTTTTAAGAATTGTTGGTAATGTTTCTCAATAGCTTAATTAAGATTTTTGACTATCATTTTATTCTTTTTTTTTTATTATTCATAAAATTTTGCAACCAAAGAAAGTTTGGTATGAATGGAAATAAAATTGAGAGGAGTCTTTTGTTATTGATAGTACACATCTAGTTTAACATAATATCTTTGAATTAAAATTATTTATAAATTTTGCAGGAATATAATCGACAATTAATTGCATTGTTCCACTTTAAAGGAATTATTGGTTTTGTTTGACAACTAAATTGCCTATAAAGTCGAAAATTTATTTCTACTCATGATTCTTAGAAGATTTAAGCTTTTACTTTAAAGACTCCTTAAAACTTATGTTTCTCCTTAAAAATATTTAAATTATCTAATATACTGAATAAATCGTAACTAATAATTTATTTCTCCGACTTGAAACATAAATTTAAACAAATCTCTTACTATTTTCTAATTTAGAATGTTTAAATACTTACTATGTTTTAATGTCACTTTGTTATTAATTTTAAAAAAAACACCTATAATTTTGAAAATCCTTTTTTTTTGTTGTTATTTCTAAAAATTTAGATTCTAAAATATATTTAAAAAATTGCAAAATTTAAATAAATCAGAGATATTGCATTTATTCAAACCACATATACATATATAGAATGGGTAATCACAAACTTAGTTTTTTTTTAAAACCTAAATTTAGAATTGCTCTAGTAAGAAATTATAAATTGTACCACTCAATCTTATAATTAATATTTTTCATTAAAAATATCTGTTTATTCAACATAAAAATAGATTTTTTTTTTCTCTTTATTTGTATCTTTCATTGCCATTTGTGAACTATCCAAAATGCTTGAAATTATCTAAAATGAATAGGAAATTAAAAAAAAAAAAAATTTCCACAATCATTTGAATCACATGATACTCTGACGCCAAGAATATATTTATTTTTTATTCAAATAACTTAAAATACCAGCATTCTCCAAAGCCAACAAAAATTTAAAATTGCCAATTTGAAAGATTTATGTATAATGTATCATACATAGATTACTGTACTACTTTAGACTGAATAAAAAAAAATCTCATAAGTTTTTCTTTTGAAATTAACTGTTATAGTTTGAAACTTTCCCATTTTCAACAAAACATTTAATAAACTATTTCCAGTAACCTGGCTTAAATTATTTTTTTATCTACTATATTTTAGATTTTATGCAATACTGTGACAGTGCTGAATTTTAAAAAGGAAGTTTCTACATTAATCTGCCAAACTACTTCTACAAATCAGTACAAAATTATCATTCCAATTATAACTTCTACGTTGATTAACAAAGTATAGGGGAACTTTGTTTGGAAAGCTGGATTTACACATTGACTTTTAAGAATAACAAAATACCCAATGGAAACATTACAAAATTTAATTGCTTATGAGCTATATACAAATTTGAATTTAATACAATTTATGACAACACATTATTTTTCCTTTGATGCCATATGCCTCATTAGTTGACTTGTGAGCTTCTCAATTTTCTTTACATCTTGAGTATGTTCTGTCATGTACATAAAACACTAGAAACAGAAAAAAATTCATTATTTATGCAAATAAACCACAAACAATGATAAAGTCAAGACACAAGACTTAAAAAAAAAAAAAAAAAGAATTACGTCTACAACTCTGAAAAGTAAGCTTAAATGATAATAAATGAGGCATTTCCGAGAAAAGTTAAGTACCGATTTGAGATTCTGACAGAAAAAAAGTTTATTTTCATAAGAAAGTGCATTTTGGATACTATTTTTGTACATAAATGGTTAATAATTTGTTGCAAACAATGGCACAGGAAACAAACTTATATATAACCTCTTAAAACCATTTTTGTCATTGATTCCTGACAATCTCGTAGAAAACATTCTTATTGTGTACAGTCTGTTTTCAAAAAAATTTTCTTATTCACTTTTACAACCGAACCCATGCTTACGATGCCTTGTCATGATTCATGATGGAGCATGGGTCATGAACATTGGTTTGCCCATCAATGGATTGTCAAATCCACTTTCACAAACCCACATCATCATAAATATCTACTACAAGTTAACAATAAACATTAGGTGGTTTAAAATTCATTAAGTACAGTAATCGTAAAATAGTTAATATTTCCGAGTGCAAAGGTATTAAAGTTTGTTTAAAAAACTCTCAAGATATGACGAAATTATTAACAGTAAGGAGTTCAAGCTTTGACCTCTGTGCTGCCCAAACTATTGGGACCATATATCTCAGATTGTGACTGCTTCCTATATTTTGGGGGTTAGAAATCCTAATCGATGTTAAAAAAAAGGAGTTTGTTCAGAAAAAGTACGCTTTTGTGACTGAATTCGTAACTTATTATTAATTTGTAACTTAAAATATAATTTGCTCTATTTAATAAGCATATTTGAGATCACCTCCTGGAACCATCAAGATTGAGTCCTAGTACTAATAGAAACTTAGAATTTTATTTGAACAGATTTAGAGAGTGATACCTTATTTACATTGGTTTTAGTTCTAAATGTAAGTTAAAAGTCTTTGGATGTAAACAAATAAAACACAACATAAATTCCATGGCAAATTAAGTGTAAAAAATAAGAAAATTGTGCACATTTCTAAAAATTATTAGCAAACTGAAGGAGTTTCAGTAGGGAGGGAAAATAAATTGAAAATATAAAAACACTAATTTATAAAATGATAATCTACAAAGCAATTTAAAAAGATAGCAAACATTGGATCAAAAACTTACAGCAACATTATCTGTAATTTTAATAACCAATTTCCCATCACAATGGCGATACTTCATACTAAACCTTACCTACAAAAAAAGTTATTACACTTATAATAAATTCCAATAAAGTATATCAAAAATTAGAGAAAATATGTTTCATTCCATTTAAAAACAATATTTTATGAATGTACATTAGCATGTAATAGTGTTGTCATATTGATAACATTAACTATTATTTGTAATGGTTAGTTTAAATAATAGTAATACATAATTCTTTTTAATACTCAGCTACAGGGCCATTCTCATTTTGGTTTAAGTTTTAAGTACTTAAAAGTTAAGTTTTAAGGAACTTACATATATTTTGATTGGATTTTTTATGCCTCTCCATCCCCTCAAAAAGTGAAGCCCATATTTGCAATCATAAACAGTCTAAATTTACATTTTGAACAAAATTACTTTAAATTATGTATTCAGATTAATATAATTATGATTTTATGTTTTTAAACTGCACAGATCTTTCATATTGAAATTTTCTCATATCCTACCTCACACTAGATTTTTATGTTTAATATCAGTTTTTGACTTCTATCACGACAAAAAGTTATTTTTGATATTAAAAAGCCCTCTCTTGTCAAAAATGTTTAATTACAGGTGCTATTTTTTTCTCTCTGTCCATACCTTGTCCAAATGATGGCTATGAGGAAAAAAAGAAAGAAAAACTGAAATCAGATTTAGCAGCTTTTTCACTTTTTAAAGAGTTTCTAGTTCATAAAATATTTGTCAAGCAATTTTTTTTTCCATATCAAATTTACAATGCTCTTTTTTTTCCCAGCTAGCATCTTCAATTGTACTTTATCATTACCATCAAGTATCTTTTGCAGATTTCTTTAATAATGCTAGTTATGTTAATCCCTCACTTTGCCTCTACCCATTTTTAACCTTTTCTTTTCAAACTGAAGTTTTACCAAGGAGTGGCATACAAAGAGGCGAGGGAGGCCATGGTCCCAGTCACCTAGCCAAAAGGAACATTCATTTATTTGATAACTAAGAACACATTTTAAATCTATTTATATTTATGAGTATGAAATTAAATTTCCTATCAAGTAAATATTTAACTGAAGCAATACATTTCATAAAGAATAAAATGCAATTTTCAAACAAATTTTATAATTAAATTTTAGATAATTCAAATATTTTTTGCATTTATGAAAAAAAAAAATTTCAAATATAATAATAAAATAATAAATTTACATTAGCATAATTTACATAATATTAAATGGAAATTAAAATATAGATTTAAATATGTTTTTTTTTTTAAATGAAATTAGAACTCTTCTCTGCAAAGAGGGGTATCGAATCGAGGAGTTGACCCCGGCTATTAATATACTTTTGCACACCACTGTTACCAAGCAGCATTGTAAAAAACAATATGCCTAACATTTTGTACTTGTAAATTTTATAAGGGATTTCCAGAACTCAAGACAGCTTAGTTTAGAATGGGTCTGTAAATTTTTATCATTAAGTATTTATCCACAACAAATTTTTTTTTTCATAGTCAGTTATCCGGATGCACTTTAGCTCTGAACAAATTAGATACGTCATTTTTTTTAAGATAAAAACACACATAATTGGATGATTAAACTTTAATTTTTGTCTTCTTCTGGTTATCTAAAACAGTGGTCCCCAACCCCCAGAACAGTACTGGTCTGTGACACTTAATAAAACCTATCCATTTCTGACAACCAATCCTTGTGAAGTTGGGGTTTCTCCAGTGACAACAGCCAAACCAATGGAATAAGCTGGGCATCAGCAACCTACTTTGAGTGTCATTGGCTCCTATTATTTAAAGATGGAACTGTCTCGTTGCAAAGAAACATGTTCAGGGTTTTCATTGATTTAGCATTTCTTCTTCTACACCTCTACAGCCTAATGCAGGCCAAGGCTTTCTCAGCCTGCCTCTTCCAGACAGTTTGACTTGCAGCTAAATTTCTCCTTCCCGAAACTTTCAGGTCCTTCTCCACACAGTCCAACCAACTAGTTGCTGGTCTTCCACTATTCCTTATACCTTCAATTTTTGAAAATGTTAGTTTTTTAATTGGATCAAAGTCTTTATGACAGAAAACATGTTACAACCATCTGATCGTGTATGACCTAATAGCTCTAAAAATGTTTGGTTGTCCAAATTTATTATTCACTTCATGGTTATATGAACTTCTCTATGTATTATTTTCTTTCACTGTTCCAAAAATTTATCGATGGATTTTTCTCTCTATAGCGAGTAATATATTTTTTTCTGCTTTATTAAGAATAGAAAAATTATTTCTATTCTATATTTGTTATATTATTTCTGCTTTACACAAAATAATCGATCTAATAAGTTCTTTATATAAACTTACTTTAATTCTCATGGAGATGAATTTAGATTTTAATTGGTTTCTCAGTCCAAAGTAACATCTATTAACCATCAAAATTCAGTTTCCGATTTCTACTTTTAATGATGTAGCATTCTAGTTAAAGTGTTAAATCATTTTATATTCATTTTTGATGCATGTGTTTCATTTAGAAGGCTTGTTTAAATACAATTAAATTAAAAATATTAAATCAATACAATCTAAATTATAAATATTCAAAATCCCCTCCCCTCAGCAGGCCGAATTAATAGCAGTAAATTACCGAATACCTGGGATAAAAAGGTTGGGGTCACTGATATAAAAGATAGAGGTTTAAGAAAGTACCATTAACATTATGATTACAACTAGTTTTATAAAAATATAAAGCAGCTGAACTGTTTAAAAATGCTTACAGTATTATACTTATTACAATGATATATTTCATTAGAACTTCAACAATACTCTTTTAATAAATGTTTTTAATAATCAAATTCGAATTAAAGATTAATACATATTCACTACAACATATACATATTTAAAATTTAAGCTCTTTTTATTTGAAGTTCGTAATACCATATTTACCTGGATTTAAACTAACACATACCTCAATTAAAAGAGTCTATATAGATTTCATATTTATGTCAGAAATGTTTTTTTATGTATATAAATGAAAAAAACTTAAATTTAAAAATAGGAACTGAGTTCCAATTAGGAAATAAAAACTATCAATATTAGGGATGTACTTTAAAGCTTTTACTGTAAATAAAATCTTCCACTGCTTCTTATCATTAGGAAAGCTCACTGTTAAAGTCATTTTACCATTTTTCTGTAAGAACATAAATTGCCAAAATAACAGGGCAACTTTCCCAAAAATTTTACACTAATGAAATAAGGCTAACTATTTTTTGATATTTTAGAGTTTCAGAATTAGTTACTTTTAATTTATAGAGAAAATATATTTTATAATGAAGACCCATGTTTCAGATAGTATATCGTCGTCATCATTACAATTTTGTTTAATATGATAATTAAATTTTATTTAATGACACGATTATGGAAATGGAATTTCACAATGCATTCATACTTTCATTGGATCTTGAATATAAAGTCTTTCAGCAGATTTAGCAAACTCTTCCCATGTGGAACAATAAGGCATGTTGGTGTATTTAACTATTTTTTAAATTGTTCTATTAATAATACTATAAATAAATAGTTACTTAGTTAAAAGATTAACCTGTGAACATACGTAAACAAATCGCAAAGCTATGAGTATTACTTCCTTTCTATGACTTCCGGTAGATCTCTACAGCGCCCTCTAGCGATCTGAAAGCGTCGGGAAGCTAAGGAAGGAGAAAAAGTCTGAAAGATGGAGCTGATATGTTCCTGAATGAAAGTGTTGGTCTTACTACCAGTAGAAATTTTGTGTAGTTAGCGTAGTTCTAGAAGCTTTTTTATTGCATGATATAAAAGGAATACTTACATACAGAACAAAATGACGTAAGTGATCAATTGCATTCCTAATTTATTGATTTGTTATCCCAAAGTCTGTGTATATGTTAGGGTTGGGTCATATTGTTGTTTTTAATTTTCATCTTCTTTGAAATGTTTACTTTCGCTTTTCATGTTTATTCTTTTACTCAATGTGAAAAAGATATGACGACTATGGTAGGTTGCGATCGATAGTTTTTACTTAAATTTTCATAAGTAATCTAGATGAGTCATAGCAGTCATTGTATTTTAACTGTTATTGGATGAGACATTTATTCATATTAAAGATGATTTGGAGAGCGATCAGATATTACCTAATTGGGCTATCTTGCTCTTCATCGTAAGCGAATAGCTTTTCCGAAATTAGAATGTGACTCAAGCTAGTGTTGTTAGTAATAAATTTTATGAAAACACGGGAAGCAGTAGCGAAAATTGCTCTTTAAACTGTTCTGTCACTCATCACGCTTTCATTAAGCATCTCATTCTAGAATAATAATTTATTTGATTAAGAGATAGTAGCGATTTAAAAGTCGATTTGTTTTATTGTTTCAACATATTATACAAAAAGGAAGTTTTTTTTCTTCATATAAGCTTTTATTGTTGACATTTACTAATTTATTTTTTCTTAGATATGCTTGCTATATAATATTTCAATAAAATATTTGCTTTGATAGTGTGTTCTTTTACTTTAGATTTGTGTTTAGAATACAGACAGTAATTTTAAAAGTGGTCCAGTTTATGATTTTTTTTAGTTTCAATTGTATTTTTTATACCAAGTTCTGTGTAAAAGTATTATTATAGTTTTTTTTTTAAATAATTGCTTTCAATTAAAGAGTTTGCTTTAAAAAGGTTGCTTGACATTTTGCATTTTCCAAAACCAAGAAAGAAAAAAAGTGAGTTAAACATATAAAATAAAAGGTCTATTTTTTAGCAACTTGAATCTTTCTTAAATTCAGGCTTTGAACTTTCTTGGGTTCAATCAAAAAATGGTTTTCTAAAAACTGTGAATTATCTTTCTATTTTTTATTTTATTACAATAATTATTTTAAAACACCAAAGATATAAAGCTGAATAATATTAACTGTCTTCTCAATGAAGATAATTTATTTTCTGTTGGTCTTTAGAGAGAGTACTTCTATTATCTTCTTTTCGGTTGCCTTATTTTACTCTTTCTATAAAGAAAGAAAGAAATTAATATTTAAGGTGAAAAAGGAAAATGGATATTTTTATTTTATTATAAGTAATTTATTTAAATACTAAGGATTTTTTAATTGCTTTCTCATAATAATATAATGATTTTTTTAATGAAATATAATTCTTAGTGTCATTCAATAAAGTAAAATTTTCCTTTCTTTATTAAAATATTAAAGAATATTTTTTATTTTATGAAATATAGTACCATTCAATTCAATTAAAAGTTACCCTTATGATTATTCTGTTACAATAAGTAAAAGAATACAAAATATTTAATTCTATAATAATAATATTCTGTTACTATATTAAAAGCGTTTTTGTGATTAAAAGCATTGGGACCACTCCAAAGCTTTCCAGTTTAATCAATTATATTGAGTTGTTAGATTATATGAATGTGTTACTGATTAGCATACTTAAATCATTGTATGCAGCCCCCAAAGTATACAAAAGTAAGAGAGACACACCTAAATAATATAATTTATTTACTATTGTCTCTTTTTTTAAATTAAACATAGATAATTCTAAGTATTGAATCTTCCAAATTGATATAAATCTCCCCTAATTTCCTACTTACTTTTATATTTCTAATATTTTTTGGTAATTGAATACACATTTGAAGCTGAAGAAATAAAGACTTATCTAGATTTCTAATTCTGGAATGGCTTCTGAATCAATTTTTTCAGGAGGAGGTTGAAGCATCTACTTTTACCTCCAAAATAAAAAAAGTTCCAAAGCAAGGAAGCTAAAATTTATGGAAGCTCTGATTTCAAATTTATCAACCTATTCCAAAATGAAACGAAACCCATTCTGCTTTTCAGATTTATAGAGAATATTTTTTTTACGAGGTATTCATACAAATATTTCATAGAATCTGAAGATAAAAAATAAAATTAGGAATAATTGTTTCACACTCAATAACTTTGGATATGAAATTCAATTCTTTATTTATTGAATCAGGTTCAATCCAATTATTTTCTTAATCTTCTCATTTGAGTCATCAAGGAAATTGTGTTTCTTGTGTTTACAAAAAGATTTCAAAGGGTCAGTGAATGAAATGAAACAAAAAAAAATGCTAAAGCAAGGAAAAACTAAAATTCCTGGAAGCTCTAATTTCAAATAGATCAGCCTATTCCTAAATAAAACAAAACTCGTTTCTACCCATTTGTTCTAATGTTTTTAAAAGGTATTCATGCAGAGATTTCATGGAATCTGAAGATAAAAACGAAATTTGTTATCCTAACTCATTACGGTCTAATAGATTTTAAACTTTTAATAAGCTTATAAACATCCAATTTCTATTAATTTGAAAATTCAGAAAATGTTAGATGTGGGTGGGCACAGCCTTTAAATATTAGTAAAATTGCTTTTTTTATAAAAAAAATTAGTAAAACGTAACGTAATATTATTTCAAGAAGAAAGCCCTTACAATTCACATTATTTTTTGTTCATTATTTTTTTATTACTGTACCTATAATAATAATAAGTTGTATACCTATAATACTTATAAGTATACAATATGTTACTATAATAATAAATAATTTTAATCCCTTTTTTTCTAAAAAGATTCATACAGTGCAGGTTTATGTCTTCAAATTTCAATAAATTAAAATTTTCAATTCATACTGTAACATTAAAGCTTTACTAATACCGATTCTCAGCTATGCTTTGTTTTAAATTTTAATTGATATATTTTCTTTTAAATGATTGAAACATGCATTGTTTCTTATTTTTACACACAAGTTTAATAAGAGAATAGCTTTACTTATAACCTGAATACATATAAGTATTGGAGGCATAAGATTACTTTTTAATCTTTGATAATAAATGATACAGTTTATGGAATTGTGCTAAAAAGTCGTGGGTGTCATTTTTTAATATTGTAATGATCAACCACCTTATTCAAATTATGCAGGAAAATATTTTTCAAGAAAAACATTGCAATTTCCTTGTTGAAAATAAATTTGTTCTGTATATTGTGCAGTTTTTTAATGGGAGCCACTGAAGCTTGTAAAGTAATAAACAATACTGTGCAGTTCAATGTAAAAATTACACCTTTGGAAAAAAAGCACGATTTGTTGCTGTTAAAAGCCCTACATAGTGGTCCAGTGTTACATAATTGCTGCTCTTAATTTCTTAATATATATTTTTAGGGTCTTCGTAAAAATGAGACTATATATTTACATTAATTAAGGTTCCCAGATATTAAGGTAAAATATTTACTCAGGTAGATCAAAATCAATCATGACGAAGGAAAGTTTAAACTTATCAAAATCTGTTTATTTTAGGATGAAACTAAAAAGTGGTACTATATGCATTTCAGTCTTACAATAAAATGGACCAGTGTTTGATAATTTTTATTCCTCAGTTTCATTTATATTGATTTAACTTCTGACTGATTTGATTTAAATTATTAATGTGACAAATTTTTTTTCTCAAACAGATTCCATAAATATGTATGTATATTTAGGTCAGTTGTGAGGGAACACCTTACATATATTTGTAAGACGTTAAAATTATCAAAATTAATCAAAATTATTTGATTAAGAAATAATTCTCTGCAGCCCTCAAATGTGTAAAATGTTTATTCCATTGATCATCTCCTCATTAAGGTTGTGACTCATCTTTATTAGGTTATGTTTGTGTAAATAATAAGACAGAGACAACTTGACATAGAAAAAATACATGTTATAATTTAATATTAATGCTTTACTGACCGACTAAATATAAAATTTACTCCACTGTATTCATTAAATTGTCGTCTTTAAATTATAAGAATTTGAACCTAATAGCTGGAACCATATAGTATGGATTTAGATTTGAAATAATTTGTAGTAAGTAACACATCTTGAGAGTCAACAAATGTGAATCCACCTTGTTGAACGTAAGGAAATACATTTTTTCAGTGGTATTCATTACACTGCTGTGCAAATGAAATAAATAATGTAAATGCTTCACGATTGATTCTGAGAAAAGTGGTGTGACAAATATTTTCCTTCTATTGCTAATGCTATGAACGCTAAAATAGAATGTCAAAAAACTGATAAAACAAAATTTATTTTTTTGAAAAAGTATTTCTTGCATTATGTCGTTTAGGATATTCCCTTGAGATTTGAGAAAGTTAAAATGCTTTTACAGTAAAACGAATACTGCTCGAAAAAATATTTTTGTGAACATTCGATTTCTATTAATCTCAAGTCATATTCAATTATTTGCCATTCCATCTTTAGCTCTTCTTATGTTTTTCCCTGCTTGAAGCATAAGAAATTAGTTTTAAAAATCAAGCTACACTCTTTTTTCTTAGGCGGATCATGACATCCTTGAGCATAATTTAAAAATTAATGTTTTTTTTTTAAGCAGAAAATTAAAAGTTTTAAATTAGACTACTTTGTTTTCTTAAGCGCATTTTAGACTTCCTTGAATGTGAATCAAAGGGAGAGAAATTAAGTAATCATATTGACGAAGTCAGGAATTTCCTTTGCGTAGCGTAGCGTCTTCCCTTCTTAAGTTCTTTCTTATTTTATTATTATTTTTTTATTGATTCAATAGCTAAGAGGAAGTAGATAAAGTTACATTTTTTAAGAGAAGTCTGGGGTAATCTCGCTTTGACTTGCAACGAACTTCGTTATCGACTTAAATGATAAAGATTTTGTTGCCTCATAAAGTTTTTTTTTTCTCCTCCCTTTTTTCAATAGATTTTTATTGTGGAATGTTAGCCGAAATTTATTGTACAGTGATGTTCTCAGTTCCTTCTATTAAAATTATGTTTTTTTTTTTACAAAAAAGAATTTAATATATAAATTAAAAATATATCAGTG